CCAAATTACAATCAGAAGAAAAAAATAATAATAAAACATAAAAAAAGCCCCTTTCCTTTCAGCCAAAGATAAATTACTGGAGAATTTGTTCTGCAGAGGAATATCGCCATACTGCATATCATCCCAAAATCTAATTCTCGACCTAGAATCCACCTTGAAACTAATGCAATCCTTTGATGTCTTCTTAATATCACTTCTATTTTTCCTTTGAGACAAAGGAAAGCAGATTTGAAATAATCTAAGTAATATAATAATAAAAAGTAGTTAAGTATTCACCCATAGCTTGTAAAATAATAACAGAGAAATACCATACCTGAAGTGACTCCTCAATGTAGCTTTCTTTGACTTTGTTCAAGTTAGAGATTTCAACAACAACAGAGCTTCCACCAGAGTATCCTAGCTTCCCATCTAACATGATCTTGGCGATGGGTTCGAAGACACCCTCATGGGAACTTGACCCAGACATACTAGGAGCAAGTGGACTGCTAGGGGAAGCAGACCCACCCGAAGCTGCACCAATGCTGTTATCAAACAATGGAACAATTGCCCAGGCAAAGGATTCTCTGTAAGGCATAATCCGAGACCACACCTGCAGCTTCTGTTTTTCTCTCTCAGTCAAGTGGACCTGTTTGGTTAGCAAATAGAGGACATGCAAATCATTACACCATTTCAAATGTAGGAAATATCAGTAACTAAAAATGTAAAAATTCCACCAGTGATGTAGGCAGCTTTGAAATTGATTGATGTATATCAAAAGAGATGGTGAAATATTTCTTTTATCCCAAAATAAAAAAAAAAAAGAGTTGCTGGAATTTTCTGGCAGCAAAAATTGCAAGAGAAGCGAAGAAGACAGAAAATAAAGAGGCATCAACAGCAAGATCCAAGCAATAAAGATAAATATTATTGTAGCGCTTAATGGGGAAGAATTTAATGGGCAAAGAATAAGAATTGATTATACTGATCTTTCAACAGTGGAAAAAAGTTGGGTTTATAGGAATCTTCTAGCAGCATCAGTTGAAAGATAAGAAGCTAATGAAGTAAGAGAACAAAATATGCACCAAAACAGAAAGGTCCTCAAACTATGTCAAGTCAAGCAGCTAACACACTCAATAATCATCAACTAGCAAACAATTTTTTTTAAAAAAAAAAGTATAAACAGTATATTAATAGTAAAACACCGAAGGGGTGTCGCCAATATACAAATATTTATATCTCAGTAAGTATATATATAACATTCTCAAAATCAACCATCCTATAAATGTCCTACTCAGAATTAAAGAGTCAAAATAGTGTAGCCATCTATCCTTCACTTTATATATTCCTCAAACGCTCTTCTATTCCTTCCTTTCCACATAACCAAAAAGATAGTTAAAGAAATAAAATGTATAGCTTTTCTCTTTTTACAACTACTAGAAAACAATTTTTTTAAAAATAAAAATGTAGTATTGATATGAACAATGGTACCAAGAGGGTACCACCTATATACAAAATAAATACATGTCAACTAATAGATCAATGACATTCTAAAAATCATCCAGCATATTGATATCATGACCTAAAACCAGGGAACCAAAAGTATGAATCCATCTATCTCTAATATTAACAAACTCCCTTTTAATTCCTTCAAATGCTCCAGCATTCCTCTCCTTCCAAATAACCCAAAAAATAGATAAAGGTATTAGATGTAGATAAGTTTTCTTTTTACATAAATCCGCTTATGCCCAGAGCTCATCCCTCACCCAACCAGCAATCACCCAATTGATCCCTAAAGAGATCGTACACCATATATTGAAAAATAGATATTTTTACTATTTTGAATATATATTGTTAAGGCATGATTTTGAATATATATTGTCAAGACATGACATTATTAGTGATGAAGGTTTTGAGAATGTCATTAACACTCTAATCCAATTGTAAATTTTTTGTACATGGGTAATACCTTTTTGGTACCTTGTTAATACATAATTCACACTTTTTATCTCAAAAAATTTCACCCCTTCATATCCACATATGTATGGAAGGATCTGGAATTGAGGAACTCTAAAGTTTGCATTCTCCCATTTTTCCCTCTACATATTCTAATGCTCTTCTCTTGAAGGCTAAAATTAGCACAAAAGTTACTTGCATCCTTTCCCGCCATGAAGAACTTAATCTAAAAATCTAAAGATGGAGATGAAATAGAGATTAAATGCCCTCCTACATTAACAAAAATCATTCTATACTACTTTCTAGAAGCTAATTGTAAATTCATGATAGAGAAGACAGGAAACAGAAGAAAATTCCCAACAATTTATGCAAGCTTGGAGTTGATAACTTTGTACCAAATCTGTTTCATGCTTCTACATATTACTTTTTGTCTCTCAAGTTCTTCATATCTACCTAATATTATATTCTTCTCTTCTTCTCTAACATCCTCACCTTTATCCCCTCTATTTCCCTTCATCTATATAGTCTTCTGTTTTCCTCCCCATATTTTCCCTCGGCTCTACCATTACTTATCCTACATCAATAGCTAAACTTTTTCTTTTCACCAATCGATTTCAAATAAAATAGGCATCGAACATGCCAAAAAAAGAAGGAAATGTGGCTAAACAAGAAACAATAACCCTAATAGAACACCAAATTGAAAAGATGCCAAAGCTACAAACAATAATTTTTTTATTGAATAAGAAATATTTTTTGAAAGCCAAGTTACAAACAATTAATTATTCTGGCTCAAACCTTGTGACAGCAAGTGCAAAGAACCAAAGAATATTGCCAGGATTAAATTCAAAACTAGTTATAAACATGCAAAATGAGCTACAAGAAATCTATCAGTATTGAGGGCAAAGAAAATTCAGCATGTTTCTTTATTGAAAGATTAAACTCAAATGTAACAAAGACATTCTCAAATGTGCCAGGACATACAGGTTCTTTACGTGAATAAACAGAAGCGGTAACCCCGCCTTCCTCTGTGGCAGGCTTCTCCAATTGTATCAAAAGACAGACTGATGCTGATGGAGCATCTAAATAAAAAATTCCACGAGGTTCAGAAGAAATTGTAACCTGACAACAGATGAGGATAAACGGCAAATTTCTTAGTATTATACAAGCCATACTGAACGAGACCCAAAAATAGAAAATGGGCATAAGATAAATATATAAGAAAACAAGACTGCCGAATTGATTTAATGACTTACATCCTGCATTTCAGTAGGCAGAACACTAAAATGGAAATCTTCTGACAATTGTTCCCTTCTTTCCCTATTATACAAAGAAATTGTACCATAAAAAGGTTCTGCAAAACACAGGGGGGAGAGAGAGAGAGAGAGAGAGAAGAGGTTAGATATCCGACTAAAACATAACCCAGCATAATCTGCAGAAAACTCACCAACTAGGCCAGCTTGAAATGAAAGAGACAAAACTTTAACTGAGATCCTCAACCCACTGAAAGCATTCAAGGAGGAAAGAAAGGATCAGAATTATTAGA